CGAATTAATACCATTGCAAGTGTGCGGTTAGTTAACAAGTAATAAAGTGGATTTGAGTCCAAGTATCGTCTACAGAGATTGATTTAGTTTAATTTTAATTATCGTGACTTTAGCCGAAATATGAATTATACGGTGTGTTTGTTTGGAACAAAATTATGGCTAAAATAATCTACTTATGCAATTATGAGTAAATTAACTAAATTAAATGCAAATTGATGCTTTTAATAAATGACCAAGTTCCATGTTGGGCATGGGAGTGGAAACAAGTTGGAATGCATTGGAACCAAGAACACACACTTGGAGACAAAACGGACTGCTATGCGACCGTATAGCACAAACCTAAGTGTGGTTGCATGCCTCCATGTCGAACCAAAACTAAAGGCTATCAATTGGCCTATGCGATTGCATGCAGGGAGCCTATGCAGCCGCATAGTACATTCCTGTGCGCATTTTTCCTAAATTTCGCATAAACTTCTATTTTAGTTAAAACTCTTTTATGGTATCTTTTTTTTTTATGTTTTTTTAGGAGTAATTCTATTTTTAACTAGATTTTATGGATTCTATATAAATATGATTATTATTTTCATTGTAAAAATATATAATTTGAGATATATTATTGTAAGACATATTGCCTTCAACTCGTTTTTCATCTAATTAATTTCGAACTTATCAAGAATTAAATTCTTGTTGCGTTCAACAATTTAAGTAAGGCTCAAAGTTTTGTGATCGTGGGGTTAAGATATTATTGACATTGTCTTGGTTCTTTGGTTCAATAATTTATTGGGTCAAAGTTTTCAAACATTGATTCTTAACTTTCTTGGGTTTGATCTAATCTGTCGTGGGTTTTGATTACGTTCAAAGATTTTCGCGGTGTTGTAGTGTAACTTTGGGGTGTCGTATCCACAGGAAGATGGAAAGGTTTTCAAAGGTTCCAAATGTGGTGAATAGTCCTCTTAAATTTGCGGGAGAGTTGAATTGTTGATCAATTAAACTAATACCAAAAAAACGTGAGATAAAATTCAGTGATTTAAGGTAGTGAAGTATCGGAATTCCCTCATTCGGATAGATTGTTCAACATCGTTTATTCAAATTGATGACACAATTAGAGACCTTCATCCCGGTACTCTAATCAGAAAATTTAGCAATCAAGACGAATTTAATTCATAATTTTACTCTCAAATTCTAGATT